CCTAAATCCCTAAAACCCCTAAACCAACACCTCGGGGCCAGCCTTCCCCTACTGTCAGTCCCGGAACCCCGCGAGACCAAAGGGTTTAGGGCTTAGGGCTTAGGGTTTAGGGTTTAGGACACCCACCCTCCTCCACTTCGACAGCATCCACGAAGATAACAGCCCCCCCCCCCCCCCCCCCAAATCACTTTCAGTGTAGATCCCTTCGTGATGCACCCCGAAGCCCGATAGAAAATACCACGAAGCTGGGCGCCTTGAGGCAAATGCCAAGGATCCCTGTTCTGGCTTCCCCCCAACACAAAACGCGGCTTCAGACATCTTCTTCAGCCCTACGCTGGCCATGTTCACGAATGCTAACATCCGGCCCGCTGCAAGTTCAAGAATCCCTGTGCCTGGCTAGCATTCGTGCGAAGTGCATGCATGCATTTCAGTCACGCTGGGCATGTCAGTGTCTGTCAGAGCACATACTGGACAACGAAGCATGGATACGCTTGCTCGCGATCGAAGATGACAAACTCTTGGTGAGCCTGGTGGGAGTTGTGATGACCGTGGACTTGTCCCGGATTCACCACCACAGAACCATGGGTGCCCTTCCCCAAGATTCGGTTCGGAGGCCTTCTGCTCCCCTTCAGGGTCGTTTGGGAGTAGAACGGGTCACCGAGCGCCACGCGCGCGATGATCAGGGTCCTCTCCTCAAGGTCTCACAAGCCCTTCCACATGAAAACCTAACCATCTGACACAGTGGTTTGCAACAGAAAGGCAAAGCTTGAAACATGGTCCTGCTTGCAGTGGCATGCCTTGCCGGAGTGAATCGAGCAAGTGTATTGATGGCTCTTGCACCATGCACCGGCAAAGTAGACGCCGTCCCCGTACAAGCCGCGAAGGCAGGTCCTGTGATCGAATCTTTCCGTGACGATTGCATCGGCACTGGCATAGGAGGTGCCATGCAGTAAGATCTTCTCATCCACGTCACTAGCGAGGGGCTCACCGCAGTCCAGAACGCCTTGACTTTCAGTCATCACTGCGCTTCTCCCGTCGCGGTCCAGAGCTGCGCCTGTCGTGTTAGGTGCCAGTCTGCCCCTGTACTACGTGCCTCCGGTGACTTCTTTAACACATGGATAGATCTGGGACATCTATGGTGAGATTTGCCATTGATTTTTGAGGAGGGTCGTGCCATACATGCCTATCTCTAACCTTGTCTTAGCTGTCTCATAAAAAGACATGCGGAGCTGCGCAAACCCCAAGCCTTTCACATGCACCTTGCACTTCGCATGGTCCTCCCTCATAGCTTGAAGCCTGGCTTTGTAGCGATGCCACAGGCGGAAGTTCTCGATTCCTCAGTCGCGCTCAGATTCTTCGAAACGGCCCCAAATTCTCCAGCGAGATCTACAGGGACCATCAGGATCATCAGGCGATACTAGTATACCAACTATTCCAAACCCTAAAGTAAGGCTGTCGAGAGGCCCTAGCCGGAGTTGGCCGGATCTGATATTGGAGTAGTATAGCAAAGCAGATCCCCCCGTGGGGTCTAGAAGCTTCTGAAAGTTGGGGACCGGAGCCCGGTAGCCATCGACAGATATAATTAGCATCGTCTAACACAGGGCCCTTACCTAGTTCTGTCTCTGTTCGGGGATGGGCCACAAGCAATTTCATACGGAAGTTGCACTATTGAAATTCTTATTATAGTATGCAGTACGACACAACATTGAAAGCTATGTTCTTGTCGCCCACCGAGGCGCGGTGGATGGACTTGACTGCTGCATTCTTTAGGCATGAACAAGCACAGGATGCATCCCAGGTGTGACCGGAGTCCTGTAGGACCCGAGTGACTTGCTTGAATATCTGAGGATCTTTCACTTGAACATAGAGGCTTTCCAGACTGTCGTTCTGCATGAGCAAGGCTGATGCCGGACTTGCCCACTGTGCAGGCACCCCGGCGCAAATGCGGATCTTGCGGACCTTCTTTGTAACGGCATTCTGTTGAGTCATCCGCGCAAAGTCGATGATGCGCTCAACACTGCCAACCACAATGGTTGCACCGTGATGCGCTTGCTCACCAGAGATGAAAGCCACATAAGCCTGATTCATCTGCTGGTTGCCTTCTGGTGGGAAGGCATGCCAGCTACCGTCGAGCTCATACTGCCACGAAGCACCAAGAGACGCAGAGCTCTTCCTGGGATCATCTAGGGATAATGATATACCAGACGTTGCTCACATGTGTGTTCTGATATTGTTGCGAAGACACATAATCACGTGAAGACTTGCACGCGACTGCTTCATTCCCGCGCGTTACATTGCCACAATCAAATGTCGAGTCGAGGGTCTGCATGGGTCTGCCACACGCATCTTACTTCAAAGCCACTCTCATTTCCTAGCAGCATCGTAAAAAGGCTAAACACTTTTCATGCTCCCAGCTGGTCTTTCAAAATCCCGTTCAAGGCCCTGCTTTGCATCAGAGGCTTGTGACTGCAGATTGCAGGAATCGGAACCGCGAGACCTGAAGTTCGACAACGAGCCACCGATGATAGCTGCACCCGCCAACACCGACAAAGATCTTTCCAGCAACAACAACCACGCTGACATGCAATACACACGGAACGGAATGACGACCATTTTGAGGATCACGATCTTACCAGGAACAAGGAAGTGACAAGCGAAAAACAAAAGGCACAACCCACCCCAAACTTTCAATAGGAGCAATCACATGAATTGATAGATTCGTGCCTTAGCCGTGTCTACCGAATACTATATACTATATACTGTATGCTTGATGCTACCGAAGGGCTGCGTCTGCAGCTTCAGCAATTGCTCCTCCGCAGCCAACCGTCTCGTCCGCTCAGATACCACGACAGCCTCAAGGTGCAGAAACTTTTATTGTATTCTGGAACTTCGATGCACGTTTTGTGAGTTCCTTTCCTAAACGAAAAGCTATTAGCTGGGAAGTCGAAGGAATGCTGGCCTCAAGCTCCTCGATCTTCTCCTTAGCCGTCCATCGCTCACCCTCCATCACAGCCTCGGCGGTCTTCATCTTCTCTTGCATGAGAGAGAACTCCCCCTGCAGCGTCTTATGCTCACTGCGCTCTAGTTCCAGTGCTATGGATGCTTTCCCGAGCTTCTCCTCGAAGATGTACAGCTCGTCTTGCAGGACCTGGCTGCTGGCCTCAAGTTCCTTGATCTTCTCCTCACCCGTCCGACGCGCACCCTCCATCACAGCCTCGGCGGTCTTCATCTTCTCTTCCAGGAGAGAGAACGCCCCCTGCAGCATCTTATGAGCATTGCGCTCTGACTCCAGAGCTCCCAGCTTCTCCTTCAAGATGGAGAGCTCATCCTGCAGCATCCCGTTGTGATCTTGCAGCATCCTGTTGCGACTTCGTTCAGTCTTCAAAGCCTCCTCGGCGGCCTCTAAGGTCTCCTCCACGAGGTCGTGCTTCTCTCGGCGGTGGTTCCACTCGTACTCCAGTGCATCCTGGGCTCTCATCAGCCGCCTCGAAATCGCACGGAGCTCCTGCGCCCAGGAGCCAGCTGTCCCTGGGTCTTCCCACCAGGCATCCTCAGAATCCCTTGCGTGATCCCAAGACTGCCAGCTGCACCAATCCTGCCAGTTGGACGAAGTTGAAGGGTTCCAATCCCCACCATGTCGGTTTGGGAGGTCGTCCGTGACTGCGGAACAGCCCTCCGCGGTAATCTTCTTCCCCTCTTCATCGGCTGAGTCCACCTCTATTGCAGCTCCTGACATATCTGCCATCGCCTTTGTCTGAAACATCTTCTCAGATTCTGTGGGAGCTAGCTTGTCTTCCTCCTCGTGCGGCCTAGCATCTTGAGAAGACTCGCGGTCAGAGGCTTGAGCACAAAAAGTCCTCGGCTTCACAAGTCTTGGACAGCCCACTTCCGCAATGGGCGCTGAAGGCCAGTCCAAGCGGTCTAGTTTGCGTTTTGCACCCTCAACAGCATTGGAGGGTTCCTGGGCATCTTCTTCTGAAGACTCTGGCTTCAGCTCCTCTTCGCCCTCCTGGGCATCTTCAGGGCTTGGCTCACCCTCCGCGCTGCTCGACTCCTCCTCCTCGCTCTCCGGGGCATCTTCATCCTCGCTGCTCGACTCTTTCATTGCCCCTCTTCCGTTGCGAAGGCTCCGAGGCATCAGCTGCACAGACCATGGGCAAGGTGATGCGAACGAAAAACTGTTTTCAACCTCTCAGTCACCTGTCTGGTGGCTAGCCGTTCCGGACCATGTGATTCTGCAAACCGTCATGCCTTTGCAGCACTTAGACCGTAGTCAGATCCCTGGACATAGGGCTGTTCCAACTGAGTCCGTCAAACACCATGTGCAAGCTGTACGTGCAACAGCGACAGGTCTGCATTTATCGATCGTATCCATTTTAACATACCCTTCCCGATCAATTAGATGCAAAAACAAATCGAGCCCACACAGAAAAGCACGCAAGCAGAAATGAAAGACTGCAGCAGTATGCTTTCCCACTGGGCTACCGTAAGGGTCGGAGCATTTGGCCGTATTCTCTCATCTCGTCACAGTCCCTAGATGAGTATAGTACAAAATACCGCGGCGCCACTGGTCTTATTGATTTGTTCACTTTTGGTTGAAGAACGGGAGTGTCCTCTTGAGTGCCTTCCAATATTGATTGCCCATCCCACCGGGCAACCCCACAAGAGCTCGGCGCAATTTTCCAACCTCTTCCATCAATCCCCGATGCCTAAAGCTGCCCCCATCCCGAAATTCAAGTCCACCCCCTTTCGGCCTTCCTTCAGGCCCTTCTTCAGCAGCACCGGACCGCCTGCCTGTCCAGAGATCGCTGTTGGACCCAAAGAGCTCTAAGACGGCACTTGGTCGAATAAGATCCTCAAACCTTGGGCCTAGTCACCCACACCTTCTACGCCCTCGGCATTTCCGACGAGACACAACAGACAAATTTCCAGGTTCGCGATGATTATTCCTTGGCTGCTTGAACGACATTTTCGAGGGACCAGAAATGCCCACATAATGCGATCCTAAACCCTAAAACCTAAACCCTAATAAAAACTTGCGGACCATTCTGCGGCTCCGGCGACCCGCCGAAACTGCAACAAAACCGGATGATGCAAGCGTGAAGATGAAGGTTGCATGCAAGTTCTTGTGTGGGACAGCTCTGGAGCAATGTCCAAGCTGGAGTCGACCCGCCGGAACTGCAACACGGTGGGATGTCAAAGTGCTACATGCCAGCTAAATTGTGTTTCATCGAGCATCTTTCAAAGCGGTGACACCTGCAGTGCATAAGATTGCCCGATAGATGAGCATGTAACAGGCACTGGACCCTAACGCGGCACAGAGGCTCGACCCTGCTGCACATGGGCGAATCCATTCCTAGCACATGTTACTGGCATGAACTTGACTCTCATTCCGATTCCGCAAGGATGCAAGACTGATCCGGTTCAAGTTTTGCCTCGATGCCGCGATGCAGTCTGAGGAATGTTACGGCTTGCGTCTCTCATGTCTCTCGATCTGCTTGACTAGTAGTCAGAAACGATGGATGCGAACACGATCTCGAGAATCAAGACGTCTGAGGCAACCGCACAACCAAGCTCAGCAGCAGAACTCTATGAACCCTTCCCCAAGGTCAGTCCTGCGGCGGACCATGTTGCAGATGCCTTCTCATATCGATCGGTCAAGACCCTTCCCAGCGGAGCAACAACTCCTTTTTCACCACACGCAACACATATCGAACCATCTGAGATAGCTTATTGAGTGTTTGTGCAAAAGGGTCTGTTCAGCTACCTTGCTTCTACACAAAGCTGCTACCAGATTGGTCTGCAAAAGTGCTTACGACTTAACTGCATGTGGGGTGAAGCGTGCATGGCAGCGCATGTGCTTCTTGCGACACTGCACGCACTTGCAACCACCAGAAGGTCAAAAATGTGCATCTCGAAGCGCTTGCTTTCGAACCAGCCATCATTGTAACCAACTTCAAAAAAAATGCAGCTCACAGCTTTTGCTTCCGAATAATGTGAAAACGCGAAGCAACTCTTT